TCCATGGCGACGCGTAAATAAGAAATCGAGAAGTATGGGGAACAAGATCAGCGGCATCCTTCGTCGCCTCTTCGACTATCCCATCAAGCGGAAACCAATTTGCTTCTTCAGGCAAGAGGATTTTTCGTCTACTGGTAAGATAGATAGATGCGGTTTTTGTTGCTATTGTTTGTTAACGTTTGTTGGTTGCAGGAGAGCCTCTGCCGAAAGACGATGTCAACCAGCACGGCCCTCTCAGCGAATACGACAAGTTGGTGCAGTCGTTCTACACGCGATTGCTGGAGCAGCGAAGACAGAGCATGGAGCATCAGGAGAAGAACGAGAAGTGGAGCATGACGAAGGTCACCTACAAATTCCCAGGATGGAACGAAATGACCATAGCCAATCTGCACAGTCTATTCCTGCTCTTCGATCAGAATCTCAACGGAATGCTCAATTACGACGACTTGTTAGTAGATGTTGTTCATCAATCTTCACTCTTCTTGCAATGCTTATCCTTTTATCATGATTTTTTTAAGAGAATCAAAGATTTTCATAACATTTTGATATTTGCAGTTCGGCGGTGTTGGAGAGTCTCGGCGATGAAAGCACCAACGATTTCCGTAAGCAGAAGTTCGACGAAGCTGACACGGACATGGACGGTTGGATCAGCTACGACGAATTCCTGCACGTAAATGACGGCACGTCCGAAGATGCCGTTTTCATTTACCAATCTGTTTCTTATTTATGTCGCAGATGGTGTACTATTTCCATCCGCAGGATTCCGGCGAGCTGAAGGGTCTGGCGAAGCTGTGCTTGGACATCGCCGACAACATCAAATTCGTGAGCAGCCTCTCCGTCGGTGAACAGCTGGAGTACGGACTGTTCTGATGACGACGGGAGCAGAGAAAGAAGAAGAAAAAAACGAAGCGGAATTTGAACGGACACTTTATATATATTTTCACACTCTCTATTTAGCGATGGCGATCGATCAATTACACCGACGGCTCCAGACGCATCATCCGCATCTTCCCGTTGTCCACCAGGATGCAGGCGGCCTCGTTGTTCTGGTTGTTGTACTTGGACGTGGAGAAGACTGTTAGCAGCTTACCCTTGTGCAATACCTGAATTAAAAAAAAAAACAACAACATGCACGAGTTATTTTATGCTCGCCAAGTAATTTGTACTTGGCAAGTGTCGATTTCCACTTTAAGTGTTTATGTTTAGAGCATTGATTGATTAGGTTACGTTGTATCCGGCGATGACCATCTCGTGCGCCCGGACGACGTGAGAGAAGCCGTTGATGTTGAGGAACCTCTCCAGACCGTCGCAATTGAAGACGTGCGCGGTGCCACGTCGAACGTTCATCGCGAATCCGTCGTTCGCCTTCAACTCTACGTCCACTTCCGGCGTGATGTGGCAATCCCTGGACCGATCGATTGTTCGTTACCAGGTTACCAGGTTGCTAATGGTTACCAGCTACTTGATCGGGTCGTTCCACATCAGCTCCCAGGCGAGCGAGCTCTGGATGTCGGGCTGCGGCAGCGGATTCGGGATGTTATTGATTGCCGTTGCTATGGGACACAGCCACGGAGGTGGGATGCCGCCATGGCAACAGAAGATCTGCGTGGCGAGAGAGCGAAACATTGATTTCATCGCCGCACTCTATAACTTTATTACCTTTCCATCGATGATTCCGGCGAGGGGCATCGTGTCGAACACCGTGTTGATGTTCTCCCACACCTGCTCACCTACCTTTTCCCCGAATTTGAACAGACATTCGCTGCGCAAAGATGAACACATGCATGTCTTTATTTATCTGTTTCCAGATACTAATCTAGGTCTCACCCGTGGAACGTGAAGACCCTCTGGATGTCCCGAATCTCATGGTTTCCACGAATCAGATTGATCTTGTTGGGGTAGAGCACCTTGTAGCAGAAGAGGTACGTGATCACCTCCAGCCCGTACAATCCCCGATCCACGTAATCGCCGAGGAAGAGGAGGCCGCACGGACAGAAGCCCGGACACAGGGGCCAGAACATCTTCTCGAAGTACTGCAAATCGCCGTAGTTCCCGTGAAAATCACCTTTTCACAATTCCCTTTTAACCAATCTCTCTCTCTCCTTCGCTTCATCCGCACTTAACTTACCCAAGATGTATATGGGTGAATGAAGATCGAGCAGACGCGCCTCCTTCTTGAGCAACTCCCTCGCCCTCTTGCACACTTCGATCAGCTTCTGAGCGAACATGTTCTTATCGATGGGACCCCAGGTATACGTGTCCCTCTTATTACCACGATTCCCGCTCTTCATCTTGTTCACGTTCACTAGATGCCTCAAGCTGCGAATGAGATCGTTGCAGACGGAATCCTGCGAGTTGATCTCGCACGACAGACGTCTCGAATCCGCGTTAATATTCGCCTGCTGAAGCGTCGTATCGCTGCACACGTCTACAGAAAAAAAAAGAGTAAGTTAAAAAAATACGTAAAATCTTTTGAGAATTACCTCTGATATTCCACATCGCCTCCAGATTGATCATGGTGCCGCTCTTGCGAATGCGGATAGTGTGCGCGGCTATTTGGAAATCGGCGCACTTCGCGTAAGCACTAGCAACCTTACTCTTCGGAGGAACTGAAACATATATATATTATTTATAATTTGTTGCAGGTCTTGTAGAAACACCTTCCATGCTGAGCAGCTTCGTCTCGTCCGCTTTGCCTTTGCTATCAGCCTTGTCCATAGAGTTTTGGTAGTAGACCTTGAGGCTGCGCGGGAATCTTAACACTTGCGATAATCCTCTGATCCTCAGCTCTCCGGCCATCTTCAGGAAATCGATCATGTTGATGGATTTGTTGGGAGTCACGTTCAAAGCGCTGAGAAGAGAAAATATTGTATTTAGAAACTACGTTTAGGAAAATGGTAATCACGGTTGCTTACAGACTGTACGATTTCTGCTCCTTCTCAACACTTGTCGGATCAACGGCAAGACCCTTGTTCTTTCGCATGTAAATGACGAAATCCTTGAGCTCTTTGTAGTTGATGTGACCGTCTCGGTCTCTGTCGAAGAATCTGCATAAACATTCAGATGAAATTGTTTAGATTAAAACTTGTGTTGTTGTTGTTGCAGATGGACCTGAAGATGTATCTGCATCGGACCTCCCCGGAGATGCCTCCGTGATTGGTGGACGGCTCCATCGTTGCCAGGATGCAGATGTAGTCCTTGAACGAGAGGAACTTGCGATTGGTCATGTCGGCCGCTCGAAAGATGAAGATGGTATCTTCGCGCGGTACGCCCATCTCGAGCAGGGATTTGCAGAAGCACGACGGAGACATCAGGAAGTTCGGATAGCACATGTGCAGGAACTCCCTGTATATGGTGCACTGGTACACCTTCAGACCGGACGCCTCCAGCGTCGACTCGTAATTACCCAGACCGTCGAAGCTGAGCTTGTCCGGTACCTCGATGAGCAGCTTCGTGATCTGCGTCTCGTTCGGATAGAACTTGTCGCCGCCGCCGTGCTCGCACTCCTTCGGGTACAGCTCGAGCAGGACGGGACTGCAGATCGCCTCCTGCTTGTAGTATTTGCCGATGTCGGCGACCGTCACCCACTTCAATTTTCCCGCGAACTATCATCCGAACACTCCAAAGATCACACCTTAAAAACTGAAGATCGAAGACTCACCCTTCCGACCGGCGGTGCCACCCTGCGTCTCTGATCGCTCGTCAATCGGACGATGAAGACGCAATGCATGCAGTAGGCGCACTGCGTCTGCATCGGAAGCCAAACCTTGTAGATTTTGTAGATGTCCATCGGGATGATCTCCAGTCCGCAAGCCTACAACAAACAGTCTGAAGTTGTTAATGATTTCATGCAAACTTGAAGACGCTGAAGATATCATCAATAATCATAGCAATATAATCGATGCTGAACTTTGGTTTTGAAGGTAAGTGCAGGTACGCACAATACGTTTGATGGATGCCCGAAGCTATTAGGTTGTTGTTTTCGCTTTGCGGCCCAGTGTAAATGTTGATTGACTTCGTTATGGATGTTTGTACAGTTTTTCAGGCGGGTGTAGCGTGTACGCAACGGAACAATAATGGATTACGCCGAGGAATTATCGCGTTGTGTAAACAGCAGCAGCAGCAGCAATAATAACAAGAACAAAGTAGCAGGTGTGCGGTTGATTGGTTGATAATCGTAATATTGTGGTGTACCCACCTCCCTGATATCCTTGGAGCTCTGGTCACGCCACAAGTTCGCCGATTGGACCTTCGTGTGAGGCAGCGATATCAGATTGTTCTCCACCAGACACATGCACGACATGTCTTCGGCGACGATAACGCTCGTCACCGAATCGCTGAACTGCCGGACGGACATCCGAAGGGAGAAGACTAAAACGAAGAGAAACAGGAAAATCAAAAAGAGTAAATAAAGGAAGAAAGGGGGTTGTCACACGATGAATTTGACAGGCGACATGTGACAAATGTTTCCACGAAGATTGTGAGCCAAACAAATGAATATTTGATTCGCAATCGGTAATCAAAGGCGGCGGCAGTAAATCGGTGGGTAAATAGAAAGGGTTGTGGTGAATTGAGAGCGTCTAGAAGAATGTGTTTGCGGTGCGTGCAGGATATGCGTGCGATTGCCTGCTGGGTGCTCGTGGTGAGCTGCTGCTGCTGCTGCTGGGGGTCGCACATCGCACCGCAGGAAACGCTCTCCAGCCACTTCCAAGACACCTTCCTCTCGCAGTTCCCCAACGACATGATCCTCGTGCATTACGACAACGACTCTTACCATCATCTCGATTCGCTCTTCGATCGCGACACTCTGCCCAGAGGCATGATCCTCTTCAACTACGACACGGATAAATCGAAGCTGCTGCGGCCGGATGGCTACGAGTTCCTGCACGTCATCTTCCTGAGGAACTGGCGCGAGTTCAGCAGGTTCTCGAGGGTAATCGGGAACGTGCGGCACTCGGATATCCTCGTCTTCGTCACCCTGAAGTACATCCCGAATTTCTCCAAGTCCTTCTACTTTGACGGTGTCGAGAATGCGAACGTCCTCTTCATCTACGTCATCAACAGCGACGTGGTGTACACGGCGCAATTTTACGGGAATCGCGACGGTTTTCTGGAGGAGGTCGCAGTCGGGAAGGACGGGAAGCTGCGGCTGCTGGAGATGAGGAACACCTTCACCGATTTCGAGGACTTCAAGTTTCGCGTCGCGTACAGCGACTGCCCCCCGTACATCTACACTGTATGCGAGGGTAGGGTGGAGGGCGTCGAAATGGCGGTGCTCCAGATCCTCGCCGAGATGATGAACTTCGAGATCGAGATGATCCGTTTCGATAACTTCACGATGCCGAGGCGTGAGATGATCAGAGCGGTCCACAGGAAGCAGGTCGACATTGCGGTAGGTTGCATCTCGAACACGTTGCAGAGGAACTCGATGGTCGACTTCACCGCAGACATCCACAACGAGGTGCACACGGCCATCTACATAACGCACGACTACGGCGGCAGCGTCAGCTCGTCCTTCTTCCGGATCTTCAAACCCCTTCAGTTCGATATCTGGTGTTACATCCTCCTCTCCATCATTCTGCTCGGATTGATCTTGAAGAAGGCCGCCGACATTCTCATCGGATATCGAACCTCGGATCTAATCAAATTCATCAAGGTAAAATACTGTTAAATATCCATTAGGAATCGACCGACGCGGTCTTTCAACTCAAACATTATACTAGTAATTACACTCAATAAGGGATAAACAAACAAAACTACCTGAAAAGATAAACAAATCATTAAAAAAAAATCAATTATTTGATTAGGATCAATCGTATGCAACCCTCGAAGTGTTTCTCATTGATACCTCTTTTGTTTCACTCTAGGTTCTTTTAATTTTTTTAAATAATTAAGTTGGTAAAATAATTACCAAAATAATTACCAACTTAATTATATTCATTAATGTTAATAACAATACACGATTCACCTGTAAAATTAATTTGTCAAGTTTGCTGTTTATGTTCTGTTTGTTTGTTTTGTTTGTTTACGCCGATTTTCGCATAATTTGCAGCGAATTTTATAAACGAAGCACAGAGATTTCACGCGGTAAGATTGATTACTCACCCTCACAGTATTTTTTCATTTTTCTTTGCAGATACCGTTCAGGAATCTCGTGGAGCAACCGGTGATTCTTCCCTCGAACGACTTGACCATCCGCTGCATCTTCGCCAGTTGGTTGCTAACCGCCATCATTATAACAAACTCTTACAAGAGTAAGCTCGCTTCGATCCTGATCAAGCCGATCCTGCAAGAACCGGATTCGCTGCCCGATTTGGTCGCCGCCGGATACGATTTTCAGGTAACATTTAAAAAAAAAAATATGAAAACACTATCTAATTATTTGAATTTTTCCATTTTATTTTTTTTTAGATACCCAGCATAGATACGACGTTCCTTCAGGAAACGCTCTTCAACTCGAACGACAACGACTTCAAGGAGATTTTGTCGCGATGGAACGACGGTTTGAACATGTGCCAATCCGTACGCAAAGCTCTGACCAGCAAAATCGCCGTGATCGAGGAGCGCTCCAACATTATCTCCACGGTGAGCGTGAACGATGCGACGACTCTTATATAATTTGTGCATATTTTAGGTTTGGAACGGATGCAAGGACGAACTGACGATGGACGAGATCAAGATGATCCGGATGATCAGGCAGAGCATCCTACCGAACAGTCACGTGTGGGCGCTGCAGCAATCCGCGCCCTTCAACAAGCGCTTCACCACGTCTTTGGAGATCATCCAGAGCGCCGGCATCACGACCGCTCTGTACGTTAACATCTAGTTGATTGGCTCAATTGCAGACTGTTTTATTCCTTTTTAAGATATAACAACTACAATCTGTCGAAGCCGATTTGGCTCAGTAATCAGCACATCCCGGGCGAGGACGACGCGCATCCCCTGAACCTTCGGACGCTCTTCGGGCCGTTCATAGTGCTTTCCTGGGGCGCCGGTTTCGCATCGGCCGTTTTCATCTTGGAGTTGCTGTACGCCAGGTATCAAAGGAGAGACGTTGTTTCATTGGCGTCATCTGCTTTTACTATTATGACAAGATAAGTAAATTTATTACATTAATAGTTTAAATAAGTTTCGGAATGCGCTCGAACGGACGATGAGCATTTGTAAGTTTTAAAAATATTTATTTACTCTCAATCAATTAATTACGTAATTACGGGTTGGTGGCGGAAAATGTGTTGTTTTGATCGTTGTGACGCACGTGATTTCGGGCAGTGGAAAATCGATGGAAATTCGCGGATGTGCGCACCGCGAACGTTGTTGTCGCCTCCGCCAAGGTCAGCGGGTCAGGGTTCTCGCCGCGTCCGTTCCTGCTGCTGCTACTGCTGCTGCTGCAACAACCGGTTGCAGTGCGGCGTCGCGACGCCCGCTCCAGCTGAAACGTGCAGCATCCGGGGATGACGAAGACGGACGGCGTAGCTGATAGTGAACGGCCGCAAGTAGAAACGCGATGCCCGGGGAAACTGTGGAGACCATTGGTGAGTTGCACTTGCTGGTTGAGAGGTCCGCGGCGAATGTGATGCATGACGACAAAGTGGAGGTCGTTGAGGCTGAGACGAAGAATATCGGCAACGACGACAACAATGATGAGACTGTGAAGGAGGTTGATGATCATGATGATGATGACGATGATGATGGGGAGATGATGGACGAGGAGAGACAATTGGCTCCGTCGGGACTGAGTAAAAAGCGGTTTAGTATCGAGCAAGACTTTCTGGAAAAGACGGCAAACACTCTACGATGGCATCTGGTCTTCAGCGTCTTTCTGACGTGGGTGAGTTGAAATATCACTTTACAAATCAAACTACTTGTAATTGTTTCAATGCACAATTGATTCTTCAGCTTCAATACATCCAAAATACTTTATATTATTGATTATTGTTTTGTATTGTTTCAGTTCGTGGGGCTGGTGGTGGTGTGCGTTTCATCGGTCGCAATGTATCACAGCAAAGCGGTATGGGACTTTTGGGGAGAACAGAATCTCGACGAAATCAACAGCTTCTTGGCCATGGTGCAGAACGTCTCGAACTTGGAGCAACTCAGCGAAGTCCTCTTCAAGCAACAAAGTAAACTTGTTGTTGTTGTTGTTTTGTACAATGATTTCGATTTATTTTGTTCACAGTTTTCGGAACAATCTTCGTCACGTTCGGCGGATTCAACGCGCAGCTCACCTGCGCCATAACCATCTTTGTTTACGGCGCATACCTCGTCCGCAACCCACAGGACATATACGTGTGGTTCCTCTACGGCGTCAACAATATGATCTACATGCTGTTCTACGGCATCTTCTTCGACCGTTGCATGAGAGCCCCAATCACCGATCCGCTAGAACGGTGCAACGCTCGCATCCTGCAACGCATCGACACCTTCGAGCTGTCAACGCTGTGCAAGTGGTTGCAGACGATGACCGTCATCCTCGCCGTCTTCAACGCAATCGTGGTCAAGTACTGCAAGATGGTCCACGTGAAGGCGCACAAGCTCGTCAAGGAGGAGAAGATGTACTACGATTACGTCGACGTCTCCGAGGAGGACCTCGTTGGCGATCCCAAACCCGTTGGTTTGTCGCTCCTGCCGCAGAAGGAAGATGACGATCCACCAGTTATCGTTCACTAAACCAACGAAGACCTAACTAATACCGAATTATTTACCTTTTTCTCCCCCATGACTATTCATAAGTCAATCTCCTTCTCAAAACTATATATTTAAATAACACTCATTCTCTATAAATGTATAATGTGTAATAAAAAGTGTTTGTCGAGAAATTCACGAAAAACTAAAAAAAAAAGTCGTTTCTCTGTTTTTCCACTTTCTAAAGCTCATAGCAGGCGACTCGGCGGCAGTAAGAAGATACAAGTAGACTCGTTGGAAAGGTGAGACATTCAGCTTTCATACGAGTGGTCGATCATGTAATTATCTTAAGGGGTTGTCGAGAAATTCACGAAAAACTGAAAAAAAAACTGAAAAACGTTGTTTCTCTGTTACGTAATGAACATTACGTAACTTTTGTTGCATAAAAAGTTGCGCAATGGTTGCGTGCATCTGATTATGCAGTAAAATCATAAAAAAGTTTATTA